ATAAAAATAAAAATAAAAATAATAAAATAAAATAAGAGATCAAATAAAATAAGAGAAGTCCAGTTTTCGGTTCAGTTATCACCCAATCTAAATCTACCGTTAATTAATTTCGACGCTTTCTTTAAATTGCTAACGAATTACCGACCCTAGCTAACAACAAACTCTGTTAACCGAATTTTCCCATACCGAATATTTAATCGAAATAAGCTCTTCGACTAAATCTAACTAGCGGACAACCTAGAATAAGCTCTCTAGATTTAATACACTGGCAGCATTAATTACGAGGAAAATAGATCAGTCTAAGCAATGGACGCAAAAGCTCGGACCATTTAACTTATGTTCACGCTACCCTAGAGATGCACGACCCCTAGTTTACTACTAACGAAATGAGACAATAACAATTACGGATTAAAGCCTCGAATCTAGCAATTAAACTATGAATATTTAACGTAGTTGGCCAGACTAAATCAAACACCATAATTCATAAACATTATACACAGATAACATGAATCAACTCATCAACAAAAATAAATACGGCGTCTCGATTAATCAACGATAAAAATAAATCCTTCAATCCATAGACAAATCAAAGTTAGGGTTCAAACATCCCCTCAAACTGGATAAAAATATTAACCTAACATACTAATAAAAATAAATAAAAAGATAAAAGAGAGAAGATAAAAATATCTCCCTCGTGTGCGGGTGCGGCTTCCCTCCGCGTGTGTAGCCTCTTTTCTCTCGTCCGTGCGTTTTTCCCTCTGTGTTACTCTCGCGTTTTTTCTTTTTCCTCTGCGGCTCTTTTTTTTTCTCTCCACCAAAAATGAGTCCTTCCCCCTGTGTGAGTTTTGATCTCTTGGGAAATTAATTCCCTACCAACAATTACAATATTCCTAAATAAATCCTAATGAAGTTGGACTTTTCAACCAATTAAAGCTAATTGGTCAAAATTGCTTTTCCATTCACGTGATTCACAAGTTATGAGCTGCTGCAAAATGGGCCTAACTTTAATGTTCAACCGCGGGCCAAATTAACGGGTATCGGACATCTCGATAATTGATTACGTGAACTTCCGTCCAATGCTTTGCGTCTATAAAATATTCCAATGAGCTGAAAATAAATATAAAAATACTAATGTGTATGAATCCATCCAAATAATAAATAAGGCGAAAGATATAAATGTGCGAATAAATTAAGTGTATAAAAATACACTATTAAACATATAAAATAAGCACATTTTTTCGACCTATCAGTTTTACCTACAGATCTTCTACTGTATTACTCAATACACTCTTCTTCAACTTGTACCAGTGGAGCAACAAGAAGAAGATAAAGCTCGAATGAGATCTAGAGAGAGAGAGATGGTTTCACGTGAGAATGAGACTTCTCTTCTTCTCATGAGCTTAATGATGTATATATAGAGCTACAGTAGGGATCCTAAGGAGATTAGGAAAAAGGGCTCCTTAATTAATTAGACTAACTGTGGGCCAAACCCACTCCTCTAATTAATTAAATAATATTAATGGGCCACCAACATTATATTATTGCAATCCCTTTCCCTAGCCCAAATTACATTTGAGACTCCAATAATAATTACTCGATTTACCTCCCCACGTTTAAGATATAATGTCCATTAATTAATTCGATTACTGACAATCAAGAATTAATTAATTTATTATTATTTCACCGAAGCTAGCGCTCGTTCATCACATTCTTATTATGCCGGAATTTAATCCACCTGCAGGGTTTAGCATAACAATCCTTCATGAACTCACTCCGGGGACATCATCAAACTAACGCACATGGTGACCGTAAATATCCTAACAGCACATCCTATATATAATAATATTACCCAAAACAGTAGGAATATTAATCCAGCGAACTGAACCTCACCCATGTGAATCAAAGTAATATATATTATATATATCTGCCTGTTTAATATCTTACGGGTTAAGAGAACGCAGTAATTAACCGAGGCCTAGTTCATTTACGACGATCAGTATAAAATGAACTTCTCCTCTCTGGGATCCTGTTCAATACATAAATGTACTAGTGCAACTAATCAGTCAAGACAAACTGTACAGTTGACACTACAACCGTTCGGATGGGGTGTTCATGTCCATCTAGGTTGTGAACAACTATTCTTGTTCGCAAGTGACTGACAGAGTGATCTTCGGTTCGCCCGATGACGACCCACCCTATCTAAGTGCAGAACAACAGAACGTAGAACTTGTTTAATCTAACATGATTCTCATTCATAAAGGGTAAATGTGTAATAACATGCAAAAGCAAGCTTTCAGTATATAACACTAACAACCCATTGCATTGAGAAAGTCCAGACGAGAGATTCAACAACCTGCTCGATTGGCGGATATGGTGGCTTATGCACTTCCAATTGTTGATGATGACATACCTTTCACTTTTCAAGATGCAATTCGGAGTTTAGAAAATGAGAAGTGGAAAAGGGGTATGGAGGAAGAAATGTTGTCTCTTCAGAACAATCGGACTTGGAAGGTGACGCAACTACCAAAAGGCAAAAGGGCGATAGGATGCAAGTGGGTATTTGCAAAGAAAGATGGATTTCCTCATAAGAATGATGTGCGCTACAAGACAAGATTGGTGGCTAAAGGCTACGCTCAGAAGGAAGGAGTTGATTATAATGAAGTGTATTCTCCAGTTGTTAAGCACTCTTCCATTAGAATTTTGTTGGCCTTAGCAGCACAGTTGGATTTAGAGCTAGCTCAACTTGACGTGAAGACGGCGTTCGTACACGGAGATTTAGATGAGAAAATATACATGACTCAGCCAGAAGGATTCAAAATTCTTGGAAAAGAGAATTGGGTCTGTAAGTTAAACAAATCGTTATACGGACTGAAGCAATCTCCGAGACAGTGGTACAAATGGTTTGATAAGTTTATGATTGGGCAGAAGTACACACGAAGCAGACATGATCATTGTGTGTATCTACGCAAGCTGCAAGATGGATCTTTCATTTACTTACTCTTGTATGTGGATGACATGTTGGTTGCATCAAAGAGCCAAGTGGAGATTGATCATTTGAAGGCTCAGTTGAATCAAGAGTTTGAGATGAAAGACTTGGGGGAAGCTAAGAAAATTCTTGGGATAGAGATAAGTAGGGACAGAAGGAGAGGCAAGCTTTGTTTGACTCAGAAGCAATATCTGAATAAGGTACTACAGCGTTTCGGCATAAAAGATGAGACGAAGCCTGTAAGTACACCACTTGCCTCTCATATTAAGTTAAGTGCCCAATTATCGCCAAATTGTGATGAAGAACGAGAGTACATGACTAGAGTCCCATATGCAAATGCAGTTGGCAGTTTGATGTATGCGATGGTGTGTACAAGGCCCGACATTTCACAAGCAGTTGGTGTTGTTAGCAGGTATATGCATGACCCTGGTAAAGGTCATTGGCAAGCTGTGAAATGGATTCTACGGTACATTCATAATACTGTAGACGTTGGATTAGTTTATGAGCAGGATGAATTTATCGTTTTTCAATGAACACGATTAACACAAACGAACACCGAACAATGAAGACGACGATCGGACCACCTCGACTAGGTGGCCCTGCCGAACCGGGTGTTGGGATTGGCGGTGGGGGAAAGGGTGAAGAGGAGAGAGGGGGCGGAGAGAAGAAGGATGCGAGAAAGTATTTAGGGAGAAGGGCATGTTCGAAACTGACGACGGTGGTGAATATCGAGGTCGGGGAAGGAGGCCATAGGAATCTCCAGCGGCGAGAGAGTGAGTTGGTCTGGGTGATGGATTTGATGTGGTGGATGACATCGTCGGCGGCGGGAAGTGGAAAAGAGCTGGTCAGTGGCAGATGTCGGAGAGGATCTCGTCATATGAGTGTTGGGTTCTATATCTAACAATGAGGAGGATGGCAACGAGGATGCCAACGGCAAAGCTGAGCTCGACCATGTCCAGCAGAGCGGCTGAACCTAGACGGAGGTGCGGCGGCGCCTGAGCCACTCTGGTATGGAGGTTGGCCTGGCAGAAGTCGGTCGGGCAAGGAAGTCGACGGAATCAAAGAGGCTGATCCGACCGGCCTATGTGTGTGCGTGAGAGATATAGAGGGGGTTGGATGGGGCGGGTCCCACGTGGTCAGAGAGGGTAGGGTGAGTGGGGTGGGGTGGGTCAACGGGTTAGTGGTTAGTGGGTCTGGTAAGGTCCACTGGTATAAATAGAAAATATCCAAAATACCATTAATGAGTGTAGAATTTAGACCTTTTTTTAGCCGTTGGATTATCATATCTTAAGGGTACGATGTATGCTTATTTCTTTAACTGAGAACCCTTTGCACCGGAATTTATACCGCTTCAGGACCGACGATTCAAATATAAACTTAAACCTCCAGATCCACAACTGAAACCATCATTTAGATGAGAAAGATATGGTTCAAAATAACGAGTTTCTTGAACGTCAGTTTGGAAACTGAACCAGTGGGATCAAAACAGGTGGAATGTCAGGCTTCGCTCTTCCATGGACATCATGAGGAAAATATGATTTGTGCGAGTGCATACCACTCAAATTACGAAATAATTGCAATTATGAATTATATCTTTTCCTCAATCAATAAACATGTTAAACAATATTCTAATTATATAGGAGAACTATATTATGAGCAAAAATATTTTTCCTATATGTACTTTTAATTTATTATAACAATTAATTGTGTGATATTTTTTTCTACTAGTAACTTTTACAAAATCATTTAATAATTAAACATATGTTAACCTTTCACAACACAACAATTACAATAAAGAAATATATATCTATATACAAGTAATATTTCAAAAAAAAATTTATATAATTAAAAATGAATGTCATCATTCTTATTTTGAAAAATCTGACTTTTGCCATTGACTTTTTCAATTGTATACACAGTATGACATCTAAATTAATTATCTATATAAACCAAATATACCAATGGCAAAACTCATCCATTAGCCAAAGAAAATCAAAACATTGATTTTAGTCATATGGCGACTCTACAATGTTTTATTTTGTCCTTATTTAAGATTTTGTTTTATTGGTCTATCTTATTAATGTTATTTTCAAGTTCTTCAAATGAAAGTCTGGCTTCAGAAACTCAATTTCAAACCTTTGATATTACTTCTCAGCTCTCGGCTACAATGTGCAATCCATCTATCCATCCTGGTATCACATTTTCTTCACTTACAGTAATTTATTGTATACAGAGTGTAGAAATTCATTCAAACAAATTCATGAATGTGCAGGTTTGAAGAATAGAAAATCATCGGCAGTACTGGAACTGATCCACAGGCACGGTTCATGTGCTGCCACGAATCAAACAAAACCGAAATCCCGACCCAGTACAGCCGACATCCTCCGCAACGACAAACTAAGGGCAGAGTCCATCTTCAATGGTGGCCACATTCCGGTCAGCTCCGGCGATTCCTTTCAAAATAGCGGCGAATATATCGTCACCGTGGGCCTCGGCACGCCAGAAACAAAGCTCTCCCTCCTTTTCGACACCGGCAGCGACCTGACGTGGACTCAATGCAAACCACACCTTCTGGGCTACCATAATCAGAAAGGCCCAATGTTCGATCTCCGCAACTCCACTTCCTACTCCTTCATCCCCTGCAATTCCAGTGAATGCTCTCTCCTTGCTGCCGAAACCGAGTTTGGTCCCAACTGCTCTGAAGCCAACCAATGCACCTACTTCGTCACATACGCTGATGGATCCGTAACCCTAGGCTACTTCAGCAAGGACACACTTACAATTACACTCAACGTGGTAGTCCCAGGTTTCATGTTTGGCTGTAGCCAATATACTCAGGGCATTTTCGGACTTGAATCTGGAATTCTGGGCCTGGGCAGATCCAACATTTCCATAGTTTCCCAAACTGCTAGTAGATTTCAGGAATGTTTCTCCTACTGCATCCCTTCCCGCCCATCCTCCATAGGCTTCCTTGCATTCGGAAAAGATTACGATAACACCACCAAATTCACCCCTTTGATTTTCAAACCAGAATTGCCAAATTTCTACGTCATCCACATAATCGGCATAGCCGTGGAAGGGCGCAAATTACGCATCAGTCCAAAGGCTTTTGAGAGGTCGGGCGATGCCGTTATAGACTCGGGGACGACCATCACCAGTCTCCCGTCGAAGTTATACAAATCGTTGAGCAGAGAATTCAAGCGGGTCATGCATACTAAATACAAATATCAGATTGCACAGCCATCTTCTGATGGCTTCTTAGACACTTGTTTTGTTCCCAAGGAAGAAAATGTTGTCCCATCTGTTTCATTCACATTTCAGAATAACGTGAAACTCGATTTGGATGCTTCTGGAATCGGAACACTTTGGGTTTTCAACAAATCACTAATGTGCTTTGCTTTCGCCGGCACTGACAGTACTGTGGGTCTTTTCGGCAACACTCAGCAGAAGACATTCGAGCTCGTGTACGATGTTGCCGGCAATAAATTAGGAATCCGCCCAGGCATGTGTAATTGATTGCTTTCACTGCATTACAAATACGATCTCACCTCTGACTGTAACGGGTGATTTGCTTTATCTGCAAGACTAAAAGGCCCACTCATATTATGTTCTTTATTATTTGTTTGTTTTTTTTTTTCTTTTGGTACAGTTATTATTTGTTTTCTTTAATTAGCGCAACTTGGCCGAGGAAATAAAGTAAAAAATGTGGACAATAACTTTGGTCCTATATTTTCTTATAAGTTTGATTAAATTTGGCTTACTACTAAACTAATGGAACAAAATATGAGTAACAATTTTAGTCTAATAATGTAAGTTGTCAACATTTCTATCAAATTTCCACCATAATGGATTTCTACATAACTGATATTAGAAATTTGTGAAGGACAAGTATAGCATCACTACAGGCCACCATGACCTGCCTCCATTTGTCACCCTTCTCCAATGGTAACACTAGATGTCAGGAGAATTTTGGACCATTACCTAATATCCTGAACAAGCATTCGACTTCGTACCTCCTCCGAGTCATTAATCGAAAAAATAAGCCCAATTCAACATGCCTAATAAGTCATCTTTCAATTTGACAAGAAAANGAACTACAATTAAATGAAAAGTTCATATCTTTATTTGCTAAATTTTCTACTGTGGAGATTTTTTTGCAAAAAAAAAAAATTAAAAAGTTAGTGATTTTTTTGCAATTAACCTTATGATGTGACATCCCATTCAGTAAATGGTCTACCGTATCATCTTAAATTATCAGCCACGCTGGAAAAAAAATGGTCGTCGACCGACATCGGGTTCATTTTGACAAATTGGGACAAACTTGGGATTTAATTTTAATTATTTAATAGTTTAGATTAAATGTTCCGAAACACAAAAGGTAAAAGCTTATTTTGCAATTAACTCAATAAAAAAGGCTTTAAGTTCATAATTCTAGAAATTAGGGCATCATTTCATTTTTGATACACTATATTGACATATTTTCATCAAAGGTCCACATTTTCTGCAAACATAGTACATTATTTTAAAAAAATCATCAAATAAGATACACTAATCATTAGTGGCAATGTAAAGCCCGGATTATGTAAATTTCTTACAGACTCAGAGCGGGCTGGTCACGGGCCAAAAATACAATTTGTGCATATAACTTTATACGGACAATTGACTGAGCAAACGAACTTCAATTGATCTAAAATTTCGGGTATACGACCGTCTCAAGAAGAATTCAGCGGCAGATCACATTCTTGTAACTAATTAGTCGGGTCTACTTGGAGGCTTGACCGGATGTTATCAGTAAGCAGTGAGACAGTTGAGTTTGCATGTTCATATGATTATTATTATCCTATCTGTGTTTATGCTGAATCGATGCATAGTATGAATTTTACCACTGAGCTGGAGGATTGTTCGCCCTTTGTTTTTCAGGTTGATCGAAGTGGCGGCGGACACGAAAGGATGGGCGTGGTCATCTTTAATTATGCTTTTATATTTCCGCAAACTCTGTAGAAACTTAAATCCATTTTGGATGTTTAAAATACGGTTTGAATAAATCGAAACATGGTTGTTTTGAAACGTTTATTCATGTTTTGAAGGATTTGAAAGAAAGAATAGTTTTTTAGTAACGTCCATGTATGATCCATACTAGATCTGACCAACTGCCCATCCTACCTCCTCTACGTTCTTGACAGCCCATCTTTAGTTTAAATTGGAAAATGAATTTTTAAAAGTTCAATTTTTTTTTAAAATCCGTGTTTCCTTTAAACAAATAAACGGGCGTTACATATACAATGCAGGTAACAAAGAAGAGGCAACCCTTAAGGCAATCAGATGGAGTTTGAAAAACTGATCAAGGAAGGAGAAAAATTCCTGTGCCGTGTGGATTCTTCTGCCATGGCTCATGGGCTGAATTCCAGGACATTTCCCCTTACTGCAGTTGGCATTTTTTCTCATGATATTTATGTGTTAGTTGATTGTTCTACTTATTGTTTCTTAGTGGACTTAACTGTTTGTAATTTCTCTTTATTGTTAGCCAAGAAGGCTTTGCACCGGTAAATAAGTTTTATTCCCTTTTCTCCTGTTTTTGTAGCCTCTTTAGGTTATGTTTACGGGTTGTAATCATTTGATTGCACGCTTATTGTATACTTCAGTGTGAGATTTTAACTTTTTATATATGGGTTTGTTTGTTGTTTGGAAAAGAAAAAAGTGGATAATGTTGTTGGTTTCAAACTTTCATGGAGCTGCTTATGAGTGTATTGGCAACTTTCTTTGAGCAAATGCAGGTGACACCTAGTAGAAGCCCAAGATTAGGTATTAAACTTTCATGTATAAACTCATGACCAATTTCATCTCTAACCACCATCAGATTTTGACATAATTTTTACCAAGCAATATCATGAATCAGCTTAAAGATAGATACCAAAAAAATATCAAAATTCATTACAAAAATTCAATTACATATATCAATCAATATATACACGCAAATATCCCAAAATAGTAAATCTAAACAGAGGATAAATTGTTTATTGGACGACCAATCGCCTGGAACAGATGGTGCAGTAGAGTCTGCGCTTGGTCTTGAAATAGAGAGGCACGAAGCAAAATCTCCAGTTGCTCTGCACGTCCATGGCCTGCACCACACCCCCACAGTAGGGGCACGCGCCAGGGGCCGCGTACCTTCCCACCACCCTCTCGTCCTCGTCGCAAACGAACACCAGGCACATCTTTCCTTGGATATTTGTTACTTTTTCTTTCTTTTTAGGCGTTCTTTGTCCAAATTATTGATGATAGATTAATTTATATTAGGGATTGGGGAGACTCACTCTGCTTCTGGAATACGCTAGAATTTAGATAAATTGTGGATTTTGAGGGACAAGGATTCTGCCTGGCTTCACATCTAAAACTCGGTTTGACGTTTCTATTTTTTGACTATGCGTGAGACATTTGACTTTCTTATCTTTTTCATCGAGATGCATCGTGATTCGTGTGCTTGGACGTCTGAGTTTAATTAATGGTAACGTGATATAAAACGCGGTTAGCGATGAGTTGATGCTCTCGCGTCCGCCTTTTCCATCCACCCCCGATCTTCTTGGAATTCCACGGCGGTGACCAAAACCAACGGTTGTGAATCCAAGTACATTATTGACACGTGGAAATAGCTATTTTTAATATAAGTTTCACGAATAAGTTAATTTTTTTAGTGATAAAGTGGGAAAATAATTAAACGATAAGATATGCGAAAGATGTGTGAAGATAATTTATAAAGTGCAAAGAATTATGGGACAAAGTATGACACAGACATACAATGCGAAAGATGTGTGAAGATAATTTATAAAGTGCAAAGAATTATGGGACAAAGTATGACACAGACATGCAAAGGTAATTGATAAAGTGCGAAATAATTATGCGATAAACTATACGACAAAAAAATGAATATAATTAATAAAGTGGGAAACAATTGTACAAAAAGCTATGTGACAGACAAAAGAAAATAATTTATAAGGTGCAAAATAGTTATGTTATAAATCGTGCGACAGAAAGGCAAACATAATTGATAAAACGCGAAATAATTATGCAATAAACTATGTACATACGAAGATATTTGATTCAAAAACTAAAAGCTATGCGACAAATAGGCAAAAATAATTGATAAAGTGCGAAATAATTATGTGATCAACTATACGACAAACAGACAAAGATAATTGATTTGAAAAGCTATGTGACACACATGCGAAGATAATTGATAAAGTGCGAAAATATTATGCGAAAAACTATGCGGCAGACATGAGAAGATAATAGATAAAGTGCAAAATGGTTATGCAAAAAGCGTAAGGGAGGAAGACAGATAGAGAGAGCTAAAGGGCGAAAACGTAAATGGGGACAGTACGTAGTAATAGGGGGTAGTGAATAGCAATTTAGTTCAAAAAAAGGTGCTCTAATTTTATATACGGACTTCTTAAAGAGTGTTGCACGATGAGTCCCATTTACAGACGCTTTGAATATGTGCTTACCTCTATTTTTAAACTCAAATAAAAAGAAAAATAAAAGGGCAAAAATAAGACTGCTAATAAAAAAACAGTGTATATTTTGGTACGTATCTCATCCTCATCACAAATGTTGAAATTTGAAATCATCAATCATTAAATCTTAGCTTCAATGTAGTAGGATCCATAGTTATCCCACTAGAGATCATGTATGAACCGGACGACTCTTCTACAGAAGGAAAAAAAAAATAAAAAAATCAAAATGCAACAACATTGAATGTGCAGAAGATTGTGAACAGTTACAATATTGGAAGAATGAAAAGACTCCTTGCATTGGGTGCAAAATACACCGCCTCTTTGTCCACATATATATCAACTAATTCTAAAGAACACACGCACACACTTAGAAAGAACTAAGGTCGAATATCAAAGAAAGAAATTGAAGTGATAATATGAACTTCTCCAAGAATACAGCATGCAGGTTGTTCATTTTAGTCATTACTTGGGATCCTGCAAGGATATGACTGTCTCAAAAGCCCCAGCAAGCGCTTTCACCTTATTCTTCCTCTGCTCCCTAAGCTTACTCGCGGTCTCCTCTATCACATCATTTGAAACCGTTATTTCCTTCTTCCCCTGCACTTTCGGGGCCTCACACACACCCTCTGCCTTTTTCTCCACAACCTCTCCTTCTCTTTCTGTGAAAGTTTCTCGGCCTTCTTCACTGTCGTTAGTCGGCCAGTCTTTCTTCTCCTCCACATCTTCGCTCACATTACCCGCCACACTTTTTTCGTCATTAATTACGTTTCTAGTAATATCATCATCTTCTTGCTTTGTATCAGGCAACAGCTCAAAACTCGGAGTTTCAACATCGTTATTTTCCGTTTCCTCGTAATCATTTATTATGTGCATGTCCTCAACAATCACTGTATTTTCATCCTTATCTTCTTCACACCCTCCTTGGGTTTTCTCAATCTCTAATCCCTTTTGATGCTCGTTTACGACCTTGGCATCTATATCTTCTCCATCTTCGTCGTCATTTGTTGGCTCTTGATCTGATATCTTAGCAATACTATCCTCTTCACATGAAATCTCTCCATCATGATCACTTTGCTCGGGCTCACTCGCCGGCTTTCGATTTTCCTTACATAAATCCTCGTCTCGTTTTTCATCACAAATATCTCCAGACTGCATCAGGACTACCGGTGCATTAATGTTCTCGACTTGCCTAGGATGGACAACGGCTTTTCCCTTATCCTCTTTGGAGAATTGATTCTTCACCTTTCTTGTTTTAGTAATGGGCCTAGCGTACAATGTGGGTGTTTTTTCGTAGGAGGAACAGACACGTGATCTTTGGGACTGATATACAGATGGGGGCTTGTCCAAGGATCTCCTTCTTTGGAGATCGGGCTTTCGGGCTGACTCGGGCTTCTTTCCTTGTTGCTTGAAGGCCTCAGGATCTGAGGACCGCGTGGGCTTGAGATAGTTCGGGACTGATTTTTGAGATGCTGGGGAAGCGGGCTTTTTGTATGGGTTCGGGCTTTGGCCAGAGGTTCGTGTGCTGGGGTGGGAGGAAGGGGAGCTTCCTCTTTTCTCCTTGCCAGGAGTTGTCTCTCTTGTTGTCCTTGTTGTCATTTTTTATCAGCTAATTGAGAAAGGGGTTTGATTGATTATTACCTGCATTTGGGAAATACAGTTAGCAATATTATGATTTAGTTATGATGTAAGTTTTGCTCTTCCCTGGCTGTGTTTCATGATCAATATAGAATTGATTACAGACAAAAGTTTGATCTTTTTTTTTTTTTTTTTAATTACTAAGCATAATAACTTTGCACATGTATTGATCTTCGCTGGTAAATTACAATTAGTAACTGGAAATATTACATTTATTCACATTATTTCGAAATCTACATTTTATAATCTACAAGTACACCAACTTGACAAGGGATATCAAAAAATGCCACAACTTATAATTTGTGTGTTACGTATATTGTTAGGCAAAAAGCATTTGTAACAAGCTACATGATTAGTGCTCGGTTTCTACGACTTACATATTAGAACGAACTTATGCTAAAAATTCAATTTTAGCCGGATTGGAAAATTTATTACTCTCCTTACATTATATTTTGTTCCTTCTATTTTTTGGGATCACGTTTTCCCTTTGATAAAAAGCATGATCCATATTACAAAAAATTATGGCATACATCAAAGCCCACCCCTTACCGATTTTTATATGTAAATGTGGTGTTTTCCAGGCCTAGTATTGGTAATCCCTAATCCGTAGTGTGATATTTATCTTATCATCTATGTTCTCAAAAGAAAAACATAACGGGATGATATAATAATGAAGTCATGCACTAGATATTACTAAAATTTTATATTTATAATTTTTGTTACATCCTAAACGGAGCATATTTTCTTTGACCTCAAACTTTTTTCTTGCCGAATTGAAATATTTCCACCTCAATCATATAGAGACCTGCATTTTATCCTTATTTTGTCATATTCCTGTATGTATCATGATTCATGAATATCAACAACGATGTGTTGATAGAAATCAAAAGATGCATGAGTGCAGAGTAGAAAAGGCATGAGGAGAAAGCACCTTGTAAAATGGGAACTGAAGAAAACCTTATCCATGGAATGTTGTTGAAGGCCAACAAAAGATACTGCAGAAAAATGTGATGAAGATTTGATGATATATGAAGAAAAAATGAGAAAGATAGTTGATTGTCAAAGGGAGGCGTTTTTGGCAGTTGGACAATTGATTAGTTGAATAAAAAGCGTAAATCGTGCACAACCCAAGATGCAATTAGGCGTGCCAAGAACACACACAATTTTTTTGGAGTATCTCCCCATGGAATAAGGATATTCTCCCATAATTAATAAAAATATTATTATATTAACTTGGGAATAACTTTTCTTGATTCATTTTTTTAGTTGTCATCTCAAAGTTGACTGCATTTGTGATTTGTGAAACATCACGGACCTCGGCTTGTAATATCTTCGATCATGAGTTTCTTGTATATTAAAATGGACTCTGAAATACATTTCTAAACACGGGTTGAAAGAAAACTTTGGTTTGGTAAAATGCATAGATTATAAGTAGTAATAGGAGGGGCGGTGAATAGTAATTCAGTTAAATAACTACATTCACATTTGATGTAGTCCATAATTAAATAAAATATTTAAATGTAGCACATCAACGTGAGAGTATGCACTAGGTTCAATCCGGCGTCGCGCTCTCTTGTCCTTCTTCAGGTTGCCTTCCTCAGCGGTAACCAGACCTATTGCCAACGGTCGGCTCTTGCCGCACGGCCTTGGTCTAGATGTTCGCCAATCCGAGCATGTCCATTTCTGGTGGTAGCGGGCGGGTTTTCGCTGCTGGATTTCGCCTCTTTTGGCGCCGGATCGTGGTGCTTGGCCGTTCGCCTCCCTGGAGCTGCGGTGGTACTAGGCGAGGGGTGGCATCGAAGGCCGGCAGTGGCTCGGGCGCTTGCGTTGTTCGCGACTGGGCTTCCCGGGCAGAGGCACCTCTTTCACCCCCTTGCCCTATTGGATTCTGGTGTAGGATCCGTTTCAAGGGCGTTGTTGCGATCGTGGCTAGTGGTGTTAGCCGGCGTCGAAGTAATGGTGTGTGGGGGGGCGATGGAGGTGTTCTCCAGCAAGGGTCCGGGTTGGTTTCGAGATTGGTTCGTGGCTAGAGTTTGGATTCAGTTAGGCAGTTCCAGCAGTTTTGGGAGTTGTTCCTCGCGCAGCGGATTTTTCTTTGGGGTCGACTGTTTCTTTGTCGGCTCAGCTCGGTTGATATGCTGTGGAAGGGCTTGATCTTTCTTTTGCTAGTTTTTTGTGTGGCTCTTGTTTAGTTGTTTGTTTGTTGTGTTGTAGGATTTGTGTTTTTGGTCTAGACCGTTAGCCTCTGTTCTGCCCAAGTGTGAGCGGGTATTATCCAGTTGGGGTCGTTCATTCTCCTTTTGGGAGCTTAGCAATGTCTGTAGTGTTTGTTATGTTGTGTATTGTCGAGTGGTTTCTATCATTGCTAGAGTCGGTTTTCAGGCGATCTTCAGATCTGTCCTCCTAGTTTTTTCGGTTGTTAGTTGTATCATCCAGCTAGGGGTTGTATCTTTGCACATTTGTGCATTTTATATATAATACTCTCTATCGTTT